GGTGCTTAGGTCTGCATCGGTGCATCCTTAATATCAAGAACACATAAGTGAAGTTTCATGCATCCTCCGTTCTTGCGGTCTTGAGTACTGGACTTTTACTGGACTGGAACTTTGGCAGCTGATGATGACGGAACACAAGGACCCAAGACCGCTGAAGAACGCATAATGAGAAACAGCCTAAATATTTGGAGTTAAATTGACATGGGATAAAATGGGGCTTAAATACGGGATTGATCTTGAAAAAAAACAATGTCTGATAACCCTTAAATGATTTATTTGTAAAAGTAATTTCCATTATTTGGGTTGCGAAGTTGAAGACATCGGTTCCCATCATTCCACAATACTCAGCGTAATCACTACGCCATTGTTGTTGTTTTGAATGTGTGGCCTCTAGTGTGAGAAGTCTACATACTGGTTTTACCATTGCTTTCCTCAAAAAGTGACTAACACAATTAGTAACTTAATGTATTACTTCGTTTATAAAGTAACCAGGTAACACATTTAGTTAATTTTTAATATGCAAGATTGAATAACTTTTAAAAGTAACTTTTCCCAGCAATGGGTATTAACATGCATTCATCTCAAGTCTTCTCCTTTACCTGTTTTTACAATCCGCTCAGCTCTTTGCAGGAGATCTCACTGCAATGAACAAATTATTTTATTTTTATTTTATTTTTATTTTTTGTGGTTGTTTGAATGGATTTAACCATAAGAATTTACACTATGAAAGCAATCTGGTCAAATGTGCTTTTGAATGCTCAACCTTGAAGTGGTCAAAAGTAGAAAAGCCTTTAGACCAGTGTTTCTCAACCATAGTCTCAGAGGACCACGAGCTCTGCACATTTTCTACAGTATGCCTCCTTAACCAAACACACCTGATTTGATTAAGATCAAAAGTTCATTAGCAGAATCTAAAAACTAAGATTAAAAGACCTGTAATGGGTGTGACAGAGAAAGGAGTCATCAAAACATGCACTGTTGGTGGTCCTCCAGAACCGTGGTTGAGAAACACTGCTCTAGACTACACTTTTACTCATGTTTAGCATAATCTATTTTAAATTAAATGAATGAACACAAATGTCTCCTAAAACCAAGAGACAGGGCCAAAAAGATGCTAAAGCTAAAGTGGTCATGCAAGTGTTCTCAGACTTAATGTGCTGCTCATTAAATATACTACATTTTGATACTACTTTATAAAGAATTTAAAAAGCATACATTGTAACTTACAGGCATACTTTAATTTGGGTATGCAGAAATGCAAGTAGTCAATTTCTTTACAACAAATTGGACTGTTGAATGTAAAACTGACACTGAAATTGCTATGAAAACTGTATGTAAATATCCATTTCTAAATTCAGAAAATGAGTAATCCATCAATCAGATTAAATGCATCACATTAATAAATACATTTATACTATACAAAGAAAGAATAAAATAATGTGAAAAACAGTGTGTCTTAATCACTGAATTAGGAGTATTCCTTTTAAAAAAATATATATCCACAGTAAGTATACAGCAGGGATTCCCAAACATTTCAGCCCGCAACCCCCAAAATTAAAATGTCATTGACTCACAACCCCCAATATCCTTTGAGGTGCTTAAAAATTTACAAACCTTGCAAACTCAAAATGGCTACACACACCAATAGGCCTAGGTCTATTCTTCATTTAATTTTGGAGAATGCCACTCGGAAATGTTTATTCATGGCCTGCTTTTAATGTTAATGTACATGGGTAGGCATGGGATGATAACTGTTTTCAAGGTATACCGCGGCTTGGAAAAGTCAAGGTGTTAAAACCTTCAAAACTTTTTGCAATACCGTTTTTAAGGTATGTGTACATTTTTTTTTTAGGACAACAGTATCTCCAGCATAAACAATATCCAAAGATTCCATTTTAAATTGTTAATAAAAGGTGGTTATGAAACAAATGAAGACAGCAGAAATCAACAATTCATTTAGTCTGACATGTTTACTGTTCCAAAATATTTTAAATGTTTCTCAAAATAAAATATATTGTGTTCAAAGGGGAAAAAGATTTTTGTGTTTTACCCAGACATTCAAAAAGAAGATATTTTAGAGCCCGTTAGAAACCGTGATATATTTATCCAAGGTTATCATACAGTCAGAATCTTATACCGGCCCATGTCTATACGTGAGTGCCGTAAAGGTGTCAGAAAGTTTACCCTGGTGCCATGAAATCAATCTGCTGCATCTGACCCTATTGCTGTGTCTTTAATCAAATGCAATGAGACCCCATGGCATTGCAATCTAATGGGGAAAAAAGTTTTTTTTTTTATAACTACAAACAACTATTTTTATGTTCTGTAGCACATGGACAAAATATGTTCATTCTAATAGTTTATTAAAATGACTTTAATTTTTGAACCCTCCCTCATCATCCTGCTACCCCCAGAAGGGTCCCGACCTCCACTTTGGGAACCACTGGTATACAGTACAGTAGTATTTCCAGCATTATTAAAAAGTGTGCATAATATGGATCCTTTATGATCCCACGAGGCCACAATCGAGAAATTGTGAATGGCAGTGAAGCAGCAAAACTAGTATGTCACATGACATTGGCAAAAAGGATGATTGTAGTCCATACAGCTTATTCATGCACACATTCATACTATTTAGGGCAAACTAGTTTAACAGTTGCTAAATATCTACTGTATGTAATCAAAAGAAATAACTACATGGAGAGTACCTAAGTCACTATAAACTTGTTTTTTTACAGAAAGTATTGGACTTTAGAATATTCTCATCTCATCTATGGGAAAATAGCTGCATACAGGTTACAAATGACACAAAGGGGGAGTATAAAAGACAAAACTTTTTATTTTGGGGGTAAACTATTTTCCTAAACGTGATTAATACTATATTCCATCATTACTAGCAACACATTCATCCAGTAGCTTTTGCCAAAAAGTCACTTAAATATAAAACACACCACATGCCAAACAAGTACCCGTAATGAAAATGAAACTTAAGATGAAAAGTGATCTAACTTAAATCACTGCATAGTGCCATACAGAGACAAAAAGTAATTTAGTCTCTCTACTACTCCATTTAATGAAGATTAAAGCTATTTTTTCAGTCTTAAAAAGACTCCTTAATGCAGTCCGCAGAGTAAATCCAAATTAGCAGACTAAAAGCAAACATTTTTCTTATGCATCAGAAAAACGAACTGTCTTTCTTTATAAATGTGTTGTTTTATGATAAACTAAAAAAGACCAACACCATTCCTCCCTTCACATTCTGCTCAAGCACTATCACTGCTTAGTTGAAGCAATAACACGTCTCGCTCGCAGAGTTCTCCGCTTTGTGCTGATACGCTCAAAAATAATATCATTAGGCTCTCCCTCCTCACCACCACACACTGCATTAAAAGAAACTAGCTCTAGCCGACTGTGTCTGAGGCAAACCAAGCCAAGTTTTTCATGTTACTTGATATAATGGAAACTGGTTGCATGACATTAGATAGTTGATTGCAATCAAAACCAGTCTAAATCAAACATATAGTTTTTAACATGCATTACGTGCATTTAAATCATTTTCACAAGGGTAACATATGTTGATATCAACATCAAAATGACAAATCATTTACAAACATATCAATCACATAGTGTGGTTATTTGTGATAGTAGATACAGTAGGACTTTATAAAACTATTTTTTAGACCATTGTTGATCTTAAAGTAAGGATCACATTCAGCAAATTCTTCCATATTTTTACATGCCAAATTATTGAAATAAAAAAGGTCAATCAAAAAAAACTACTGATTGGCTTTTGAATGTGATTAACCTAAAAGTACAGGGGGACAAAAACGAAATTGAATGGGTGGAGATTTAGCTGACTAAATAATGGGATTGTCCTGCTTAATGTACATCATCAGAAAGAAGACTTTCGTTTTCACTAGAAAGTCCAGTTATGATATTATTTGTTACATTATGGGGTAAATATTTTACAGTGAAATATATGCATGCATTAATTGCTCAAATATTACATAACAATCATTTAGAAAATGGGATGGAATGGATTTTCAAATCATAAGCTATAAAAATTATGAAAAAAATTACTTACACAACTAGAGAACTGCATCATTGAACAAACTGTTTTTTTTGAGAGCTGGCTCTTTTCTGTGACACCATCCATGCTTTCAAATCACACTGAACATTTTTGTTCATGAATTGTGGTTAACTAAGTGGACAAATTATATTTGTAGTAGATGTTTAATAAATAATATATTCAACCAAAAATCTGAAACATGGAAATATTTTTTTAAGTAATAGTTCTCACAAAAAGCAGGATATAATGACAATTTAATGAGCCTCATGTTGACTTTGTTTTCCTTAAGGAGAGGTGACAGCCACACTTTCACTGTACTGTACTGAAATTTCCGATGACTGAAGCTGTCATTCATGCTCAGTCGTACTGTCTATAATCTTCCTTTGTCGTGGGAGTTTGCATCATAAGGTAAATAATTACATCATTTTCAGCGCTTGAGAGAACTATCCCTTTAAGTAGGCTATTTGTTTACGAGCGAATGGCCAGTGCTCTCTGTAAATTCCACACACAGGGGACTCCGTCTGTGCCCTGTCATTTCCAAGAATTAGGAAAGAGCGTCAGATTCCTGCGGCGTGTGGTTTGCAGTGTTACTCTAATGTAGCTAAACGTTATTCTTGGCTGACCGTGGGGACAAAACCCTGAGTTGAAATTGTGAGCTCGCGCCACATTTCTCAACTTGTTTGAACAGCTGATTTGACTCGTATTGTGCCGCATCGTTAGCAGGAAGTCAATCTTCGTATGAAAAGTAAACGCGAATTTCACTTAATAATTCCTGCACAACGCCTCGTCAAAGTTGTACTATTAGACTTCATAAAATATGACCCCAGTCACACCAGAAAAATACAGCCTGCTCATTAATTCACTAACAAGATAAATCTTTTATATCAACCAACACATACGCACATCAATATAAATACAATATAAACCATACCTGACACAGATGTTGGCGTTGTTGTAGTCGTTGAGCAGCGTGTCGTGGTCCGCATCCCATTGCCTGTCAAACGGAATCGCTGCTGACGCCTCTCTCGGCGTTATGTGGACGCTCTCGAGCCAACAGGGCTTCCCCTCCTGCTTGTCAAACTGGAAGCGCAATCATGCGTTCAGCTGATCGGCGCAGCAACAACAGGCACAGTGTCGCGCAACGCAAACAGTTCACACCGCACCGCCCTGCACGCGACGCCCCGGGGGCCCCGCCCCCTCCTATGCTCTCGCAGCTCTCAGCTTGATTAATAATCATGAGGTAGTATCCTTTCCCAGCGCCCATTGGCCGACAAAATACCTTAATTTCTAGCTCCCTCCTCGCTGTCAGCCACTTCGAGGTGACGTCATGGAACATTCCAAAAATTCCTCGTCCCGGTATTTTTCATTTCAAGGGGACACTGCAAAACTTGTGTGCACTTAGCAGTTAATAACGACACATAATGTTTTTGTTATTATTATTATTATTATTATTATTATTATTATTTGTTTATATTATATTATGTATACACATACACAGGCTCTCTTTGTATACATTGCACACATTCATAAGACTTTTGTTTGACTGTTGTGCGTATTCTGATTAGTAATAACACACACACACGCACGCACGCACGCACGCACGCACGCACGCACGCACACACACACACACACACACACACACACATATATATATATATATATATATATATATATATATATATATATATATATATGAAAAATATTCAAATATTTAATACAAATTCTTTGCCACAAAAAACAATAAATTACTAAATAAATACGTAAATAAATAAATAAATAAATAAATAAATAAATAAATAAATTAACGAAAACTTTCAGTTTTTCTCTGTCATACTCTATTTGGGCAAAATTAAAATAGGGCATTTAAAAAAAAAAAAAACGAAGTGAAGCCTGTGTTCACTCCATGCTCTGCCCCAATGTGCAATTATTTTATATATATTTTTTTTGTTTCTTGTGGAATATTCAGTTAGACTGATCTTAGTAAACAGTCACCATAACCAAAGTCAAATATTTTATGTAGAATTATTAGCATAGGAATTCCTTAACACATCCACACAAATGTTTCATGAGCTGGACCATCTGGGGGATACATACTGGTTGCTTATGTCAGCACAATTCCCACAATTCCCTGACTCAGTTGTACTCTTTAGCAGGACTGAAGCTTCTCAGTTGTCCTAATGGTAGCATGGCCCACATGGGGGCTATTAGTGGGGTTAACCATCACTATGAACTTTAATTCATTTAGCCCTTTCCCAAGGGCATGGAGAAAAAAAGTCAACCGGAATGTACTGAAAGAACATTACTGAACTCCACGGAAAGTGTGATTACTCTCACACATTTTACAAAACAAACCTGAGTAGTACGTTTCCACTGTGTTTTACACTAAACTAAACTCCAAAAGAGCATTGTATACAGGCCTAGATTTACTAGATTTTTTATTTACTATTAACTGTAGCATAACTATTTTGATTATTTTTTATTTTCCATAAAAAGCTGGAAAATGACAAATAAAATTAATTTGCTGTATTTTCAGATGCATGATGCCTCCTGCTGTCTAAAGGCAATTTAGTAAAGCATTATTATTATTTTTTTTTTCATTGTTTAAACAGTTTAACACACTAAATAAGACACATGGTAAATCAGTAGCTGTTTTACTTCCTATTTCCAGTATGTCATAGGCATCCTTCTGTCTCTAGGAACAATGGAGTTTGCACCCAGGTCAGTCTGTAGTGGAGCTGCAGTGCCGGCTGACTGTGGGTAAACAGTCCAATATGAGAGCAGCAGGATCTGTTGCATTTGCTTCATATGAAGCCTGTGGCTGCTTCTGTGCTTTCCAGTGTAGTTATGTTAATTCATAATATTTTTTTTAAAATACTAATATTACTTATGATGAATTTTTTTCTCAAGACCTTGTTAAATGCCAGTATTTCATGTTACAGCTATTCAAAGATTTGATTTTAAAATATTTATTAAAGTTATTGAAGAACAGCTGCTATTGTTTGATTTATGTGTAGGCTGTGCTTTAAATTTAATTCAATTAATCATAATCCAGGTGATGAAGCATTATGAACGTCTGAAATTAATGTGTTGGTACTACTGTGAGGATAATCCTGTCTGGTTTAAATGCTTAGAAATGAATAAAGTTGAAGACATTGGTTTGAAATATTTAAAAAAGTAATTACATGTAGGAGGTTACATTTATAAGTAATGAAAACAGTTACTGATTATTGCCTTAATAATATAGGGTCATTTATAATCCGCAATCTATTACATTTCCAAAGCAACCTTCCCAATGCAAGGTGCAGTATGTAAGTTTGACAAACAGCGGTTGAACTAGGTATTGCACCCCTGGATCAAAACAAACGCAAGTGCAGGTTGCCAGATTGAGGACGAGAGTGAGTTAAACCATTTTCTAAACAAAGCAACGGCACTCAATAGAAGGAATATTTTCTATATTAAAAAAAGTTTTTCTCCTAGCCAACATCTCGAATTGATATATTAGAAAGGGCTTCTATTTTTCACAGGTGAACAACTGATAATGATCTCCTCAGGTGCTTTATTCAGTGTTAAATGCTAACTTTGTGTGTTTGAATGCCAATTTACATGACATTTATTGCCAAACTCCTGCAACAGAGAGTTCACCTCAGATCTTGAAAATACAATAAACTGTTTGAAATTGAACTCTAGAACTAAACACAAACGAGCATGTCACTATCTACATTTAATAAAGTTAAAGATGTTTAATATGTATTGATTGGATTATAAATCTTACCATTTTGTAAGTGCATATTCTGTCTTTCTGAATGGCTGCATTTAAATTTTTGTTGTCTTCCGTGTGGTGCAAACAGCCAAATTGCTCATCGCAGCGTATCTCGTCATGAATCGTGTTGTTAGGACACAGGGTTACAATGTAACCTGCTCACCTAATGTTTTCTTACGTAATATTTATATAGTTTGCTTATTAATTACCTCATGTAGAACTCGTAATCTGTGTCTCCTTTTGGAGTCTGCTACTGTCCACGCGGGTCGCATTTTGGTCACGGACACATGCTTTCAGAGCCTTTCTGAATGAATGAATGAAATATGCAGTTTTCCACCAAGGCAACTCGGGGTGCTGAAATATAATTGGCTAAACTGGCATTCAAAACAAAGACAGCGTTCCGATACGGAAAACACATTTTCAAAGCAGAACAACTAACTTCAGCATTGTTTTTCTGATAAACAAGAATGTCTACTTGGCATGTTTCTTAAATATCTGCAAAAAATATATAATGATATTTATATGCTTTAGAAGAGTCAAAAACTTACATACAGCACCTTTAATGCATTATATAAGTTAGTTAAATCATTACACTTGTTGGATGATACTTTCACTTAAGGATCAGGGACAATGAAGGTGAATGAAGATCCACGTGCAGTTTTTTAAAAAGAATATTCAGGCAAGCAATGGTCAAAATAGGGGAAAACAGGAAATTCAAGATCATAGTCAAAAGCAGGCAAAAGGTCAGGTCAGGCGGCAAAACAATGTAAACAGTTAAAAAAAAGCAAAGGTCAAAAACAAGGCAAGACTAGGATAATGCTTACGTGACGCTCTAAACAGAAACAAGACTCAGCAACGTTTGTGTGAATGTGTGGTGTAGATATAGTAATCATTTAATGATGAATTTCATCTGTGTTTGTGTCAGTCTCTGAATGACTGTCAGCTGTGGCAGGAGTGAATGGAGCAATATTTTCTGGGAGTTGTAGTTTAGTGGCAGAATTGTAGTTCTCAAGCGAGCTGCAATTGCTATAACTGGTACAAAAGTATGACTTGTTATTTGTAAATGCAATATCATTCATTCATTTTCTTTTCAGCTTAGTCCCTTTATTAATCTGGGGTCGCCACAGTGGAATTAACCGCCAACTTATCCAGCATGTTTTTACACAGCGAATGCCTTTCCAGCTGCAACTTATCACTGGAAAACATCCACACACACTCTTTCACACACATGCAATATGGACAATTAAGCCTACCTAATTCACCTGTACCGCATGTCTTTGGACTGTGGGGGAAACCGGAGCACCCGGAGGAAACCCACGCAAACTCAGGGAGAACATGTGAACTTCACACAGAAACACCAACTGACCCAGCCAAGGCTCGAACCAGCAACCTTCTTGATGTGAGGCGACAGCCCTACCTACTGCGCCACTGCGTTGCCCGGAAATGCAATATAACAAATTATTTCATGGCCTCTAATTTGAAAATCCACTGGTGTAGTAGAATAGTAAGTGGCTATTTGAGTCAAGATAAACTCAGAAGGTATGCATTTGTAGATAAAATGTTCACCTGGCACTTTAAAAGTACATATTAGTACCTAAAGTGTATTTTTTAATTCCTAAAAACTACAAAAGTGCAGTTATTAAAAAATTTATAATTGTTTGACAGCATTTATTTCTAAGATTGAAACTTGCGTTATCATCTATATTTGGGTTTTGACTCCTTGCAATTTACTAATTTAACACTGTTATCGGGGACCTACCCATTCCCAAATAACATATTCTAAAAAGCTCAAAGCCACGTCAAATCTGCCGAGAATTGATTGTCTTTCCTGTTATTTCCTCATTGGCTCACCTTTGAATGCAGGCCAGGGACTTGTTTTGTCAGACTGTGTAAGTTGAGTTCAACAAAATGCACACAATGAAGCTTAAATATCTACTCTGTTGTTTTTCTCTGAATATATTATAGTGTTCACAACAATCTGTGGATCTAAACAGTCACCCAGACTACCGTATGACAAAAGAATGCTTTGTTTAACTGATGCAAATGCAGCGCATGGGTCGATACCCCAAGGACAGTTTAATTACTGGGCATAAATATAGCGTCCCAAACTCCACGCCTGCTGGGCCTCAAACCTGTTATTACACTTTTTTATGTTTATTTTTTTTTTTACAAGAGTTGAATTACTTGTAAGAACATGCAATAGGGAAACTAAGGTCATTGCAGGGTTGATTGGAGAGATATTGGCTACGTTTCAAGAATGGAAAACCTTGCCTTCAAAGAATGCATTCTGAGGTGGGAAGGCATCATAATCTAGCTTTTTTAAAGGCAGATAGAGGTATACTTTGCTGCTTTTATTATTTTGCAATTCTGTGCAATCCATTCCTGACAAAAGAAAGGCTTCTAAAAAAGAAGATGGCTTCTAAAA